AGAAAGCAAGACAGCAATATGGGGATAGAAATAGAAGTGGAGTAAGAAGAGAGCTTGAGACAAAGATAAAGGCAGAAAAGTAGATGTAGAGAGAGGGGTGATGGAGAAATGGAAAATGGAGAAGAAGGGGAGAGGCCAGTAGAGAAAGTGACAGAATTCGAGGGAAGGACAAAGAAAAGTGTTGAGAAAAGCAAGGAGATGGGGACAGAGGACAGAGAGATGAGACACAGACAGAAATTCTGGGCCTAACAAGGGCTGTTTCTGCCATTGCACCCCCTCATCTGCTTTCAGAGGCCACAAAAGATATAGAACCGAGGTCCCTACCCCCAGATTCCCAGTAAGGCCCCTAGGAGGAGACCTCAAACTCCCAAACATCCTTTGTCATCCTCCTGTCCAGGTAGAATACCCTCTTCCAAACCTCCCCCTTCCGGCAGATGCCTAGGACGGGGTGGTCACCCCAGGGGCAGGCAATGCAGGATGTGTTGTCTGCAGAGATTCTTAACACAGTCATAAAACCAACTAAAAGCCAGTCTCTTTTATTTTTAACTGACAGGGAATGCTACATGCTTTTTATCATGTATAACATGATGTTTTAAAGTACATATCCATTGTGAAATGGTTAAGTCTGGATAATTAACTAATGCATTAGCTCACTCTCTATATTTTTCAAGAATATAATACATCATTACTAACTACAGCCACCTTGCTGTACAATAGGTCTCCTGAAATTTATTCTGCCTAACTGATTGTAATCATGTATCCTTCAGCCAATAACTCCCCATCCCCCTCTCCTCAACCACTCCAGCCTCTGGTAACCACCAGTATCTTTTCATTGTTATCAGGTACTAACAATTCTAAACATCATCAATGATACAATACTCTTTCCCCCTAAATTCTTTTGTTAATAAAATGCTATCAAGTGCTGTGGCTACTGTTGAGTTTTTATATATATTTTTAATAGATAAGTGCATATAATATATGTTCAGATTAACTAGTTTTGATTGCTTATCCCTTAATGTAGGTTGATCCAGATCCCTTTCAATTGTACATTTGTCCCCACTCCCAGGGATTCAGCTGCATGTTCAGTTCCAGAGTGTTGTGACGCTCAGGATCATTCAAGCTCGCTTCAGGAGCAGTTTATGTCTCCAACTCCCGTGATACTACACATTTCTGTGTTTAAAGAGACGTTTCTAAATAAACAATGATAGAGCAGTGATGGTGAAGCAAAGAAACTGAACTTGAGTTACTTCAATTCAATTCTGTCATTCTATGAGGCTACATGGAATTTTTATTTGTGCATAAATTTTTAAAACAGTGAAATAGAATGCAAACGCAAGGTGAACCATCTTCACTTTGGAAGTGCAAATTTTAGCTCATACACGAACTATTTTATTGGATTTGAATCACGTTTTTAACATTAAAATAAATTCATTTTTAATCGTTGCTTGTTTTGAAATGAAAGAAGGAATCAAGAGAGCAGAGATTGTAATGTTATTATTTGTTATTGTGACAGACAAATATGTAACTATATGTTTTTCTTCCTTTTTCAAAATACACATTAATAATCACAAACTACATGATTATATATATGAAATTCAATAAAAGAAACATTTTACTGATTTCCTTCTCTGGCCATTTTTTTTTTTTGTTTCATTTCATGACTAGTACAGAAAACAATTGTGTTGAATAGAGGAGGGAGACTGTTTAAAAGGTGACCCACTCCAGATGTCAAGTGTGCCACTGCCCCTGCCCACCTTTCCACTGGACCGGATGGATCCCCATCCTTCACACTCCACTCATCCTTCAGCCGGAGCCTCGGGCGTCTCCCTTCTCTCATTCCTCAAAGTAACAGAAAGTGATCTCTGAGCAGAGTGAGCCATCAGATTGCCTGGAGAAAGGGTTTTCCAGACAGAGGAAACAGCCAATGCAAAAACCTGAGGCAGGAAGGCAAGTAACCCCAGGGCATCTGAAAGCCTTTCCCAACTTTTGATTTTTGCTTATCAAATTTCCAAATTGCCTTTAGATGTCCTATCAAAGGTCACTTCTTCCAGCTAGCCTTTTCTGAGCCCCCTCCCATCCGACATCAAATCCACCATTCTAAGCTCTCATAGTTCCCTAGACATGGGTACATGGGTCATTGTTTATAATCACTCCCTATACATGGGCATGTGAGTCATTGTTTAATTAATATCTGTCTACGTTTTCAAACTAGCTGGTTCACATTTAACACCACGCTACCTTGTGCATTGGCCTCTCTCCCCTGGGTAAGGGCAAAAATAGACACGGCCATTTCTTGCTCTCTGACTGACCACTTGGAACATGGTTCAATATCATTGATCAGGTTACAGCTTTATTCAGTGTAATCACGTCTTCCTGAGACTACTGCCTCATTCCCTTGATTGGACTTGGGTGTTTTGTCATCACTCAAGGTGGGTCTCTACCTTCTCAAGATGCTGATTTATTCCAACACATGTTGAATCTTCATCATTTCACTCTCAGAGGTTGTTCTGAATTTAGCAGTCTACTTATATGCCCTACACATGACCCTTTCACAAGGAAATTGCTTCACCCAGATGCCTGCTGCCCGTCCAGCTTCCATGTTTTATCTTACCTGACCATCCTTTTAACCTATCATATTTCAGTGAGGCAGGGTACAGACACCTAACCGAAACCAGAACCACCTTAGATCCAGAAGCAGCCACTTCCAAGTCTTGTGGAGCTCAGCCCACTCCTCTTCTGTTCTTGGATTGACTTGAGGGCTCCTTTCTCTCCATGGGCATTCTTAAAATCCATGGGCTAGTCAGAGACCATGTGGCCTGGCTTACAAAAGAAAAAAACAAAAGCCTGAATCAATTTAATCCTCTTTCTTGAGAATATGATCCAAGGGGGGAAAAAAGTTTTCCAGTTAGTAGCTAAGGAAGCATTTAAAAGGATACCTTGATTTGGGACAATGGTAAACCAAAGTCAAATGCAACAGAAAATTACAAAGAAAGGGAGGAAGCAGGCACTGGGTGGGAACAGCTGATACATGTTAGTGACAAGAGTAGGCAAGGGGTTCTGCTGCTGGAAGAATCCAGAACCACCTTAGATCCCAAAGCAGCCACTGCTTCCTCTCTTTGTAGTGCCCAACCCAGTGACTCCTTCTGTCCTTAGATTGTCTTAAGAGTTTCCATCTCTCTGTGTGAATTCTCAAAATAACCACCCTTGCTTAAATCAACAATACTTACTGAACATCTACTACATGCAAGATGGTATCTTAGGTACTAGGTATATAGCAATGAACAAATCAGCCAAAATCCCTGGTCTCCTGGGACTTGAATTTTAGTGGGAAAACACATAAATACATAAGCACATAAACAAAAAATGTGCAATATGTCAGATTGCAATTGGGTAAGTAATGGGGTCAAGAGAGTGCAAAGATTCTTCCACTTTTGGAACTATGGCTGAGATACTCTGAGGGACTCTTCTACTCAAAAACAATTGCATATTGCACAAAACATAGTTTTCACCACATTATTGGGCTCTCAGGAGATGGGATAAATCTTCAAGGGCCTGGAAGAAAAAGGCCATGAACTATGAGCAATGGTGAGTTGCCAGGTTGCAAAGAGTGCTGCCAGCACAGTAGGAGACCTGAGTCTGAGACTCTCAAACTTAGTCAAGAGGCCTAAAGGGGGATAAAAAGATGTCTGGTTGATCATGCCTCTTGTGCCTGGCAGAAGTAAATGTAAATCTTCTCTGGAAGAAAGCATTCTCAATTTCTTGACCTAGATTTTCCCTAGATTGAGATCAACTGCATGTAAACTCACATTCAAAGATCACCAAACACACAAGGGAACAAAGCACCAAGAATAAGAGCAGAATCAATAAACAATAGATCTGATCCTCCCCTTCCTCACCACCTCTCCAAAGACTTCAGATACTGGAATTATGAGACATAGAATAGAAAATAACTTCATATGTAAAGCTTGAAGAAGTGTAGGACAGAACCACAAAAATGAGATTACCAAAAAAAAAAAAAAAAAAACAACAATGAGACTACAAAAAACAACAATCAGACAGATTTTAAGAATGATTAGCAAGAGTAGAGGATCGTCTCATATAGGGAAATCAAGGGTGCTTCTCTGTTGAGTCAGCATTTGAACAGAGACCTGAAAGATGTAAGAAAATGAGTCACACAGACACCTGGAGGTAGAGTGTTCCAGGTAGAAAGAATCACCAGTGCACATAAGAGTGCCCTTGATGTGCTCAGTAAACAGAAAGCAGGCGCTCTAAGATCAACTGAGGGAAGAGATGAAGACAAGGCGGTAACAGAGATAAGGAGGCAAGACTGTGTGTTAGGCATGTGGATGGTGACAAGAACTTGTCAGTTTTAGTCTAACTGAGACAGGGGAGCCCCTGAAGAAACTGAGCAGAGGAATGACATAATCTAATTTTTCTTTTTAAAAAAATCACACTGGCTGCTATTTGATAAACAGAAAAGAGGGGGAAGAGGCTATAGTGGAGGCAGGGAGACCAGCTGGAGACTTTCATAGTCATCCAGGCAAGACAAAGGAGTGTGGCTTAAACTAGGAGAATAGACTTGAAAATGGTGAGAAATGAAACACTAGGGATATATTTTGAGAAGTTTTCATTGATTGATTGGAAGTTGGATGTGAGAGAAAGAAAAGAACCAAGGAAAAGTCCAAGATATTTGATCTGAGTAAGTAAAAGAATAAAGTTGCCATGTAACTGAGATACAGAAAACTGTATAGCTGGGTATATACCCAAAGGAGCATAAATCGTTCTGCCAAAAAGACACTTGCACTCGTATGTTTATCGCAGCACTATTCACAACAGCAAAAACATGGAACCAACCTAGGTGCTCATCAGTAGTGAACTGGATAAAGAAAATGTGGTACAAGGACAGAGACACGGCACGGGGGGTCAGTTGAGTGAGAGACGAGCAGGACTGGTGTGAGGGCTTCCTCTCCCGGAGGTGCAGCAAGAGAAAAGAGTTAGCCATGTCGTCCTTGATCAGAAAGGTGATCAGCACTGCGAAAGCCCCAGGGGCCATTGGTCCCTATAGACAAGCTGTTAGTCGACAGAACCCTCTACATTTCAGGACAGATTGGCATGGACCCTTCAAGTGGGCAGATTGTGCCAGGAGGGGTAACAGAAGAAGCTAACCAAGCTCTTAAAAACATGGGTGAAATTCTGAAAGCTGCAGTCTGTGACTTCACTAATGTGGTAAAAACAACTGTTTTGCTGGCTGACATAAACGACTTCAATACTGTCAGTGAAATCTACAAACAGTATTTCAAGAGTAGTTTTCCTGCTAGAGCTGCTTACCAGGTTGCTGCTTTGCCCAAAGGAGGCCAAGTTGAAATTGAAGCAGTGGCTGTCCCAGGACCTCTCACAACAGCATGACTATAAGTGGGACCAGTGTTGTTTAGTCTGGAATTTTTCACATCTTAATTTTTACAATTGATATAACATCTTAATTTTTAGTTGATGAAACTATAAGTCTGATAAATATCTGATGTTAGGGGCATACCAGGACAATCATATGATAGGGAAAGTTGAGCATGAATCGAAGAATAGATCATGAATCCAATGTTATAAATTATACTTATGTATATCCATATTACTGGATATAGGAAAGAGATACTCATTACCTAGTTACTCAGGTAAATCAAGGGGAAATAACACGTAGGAAAGACGAGGTACTGTTCTAGAGAAATAACCAAGAACACACCTAATTTAAACTAATCTAATGACGTGAAATACTTAGTTCTCATGTCAGATATGTGATTCTGCTTTTACTTGATTAAAGCATTTAAATTTGAATGGTAGGAATCAAGGAGAAAAAAGTGGACCAAAACTTTATATAATTAATATTTTCTAATGGAAATAAAATAAACATGCAGATATCCTTTTTTTGAACAGCTTATTTTTGAACAGCTTTAATTTATGCATTAAGACATATTGCCTAATAAAGGAAGGGTGTGAAGTTAACTATTTCATTTCTCAAAGCTTACTCCTGACTTTGCAAGTTTTTGTAAAGTCTGTGAACAGTTTTAGACAATTATTACGTGAAAACCTCCATGTTGTAGAATAAATTCCAACATATAATTCTATACTTGTAGATTAAAAAGTAAAAGTCGACCTGGCATGGTGGCTCATGCCTGTATTCCCAGCACTTTGGAAGGCTGAGCAGGGAGGATTGCTTAAGTCCAGGAGTCCAAAACCAGCCTAGGCAACATAGTGAGACCCCGTCTTTAAAAAAAAAAAAAGGTAAAAGTTCCTTTCACTCATTCTCCATTACATTTACTTCCCCAAAGAGAACGAACCACTTGCTAAGGGTTTTGGTTGTAACTGACACCTTTCTATTCATTACATACTTGATTACCTGGTTTGGTTTTATCTTAGTGACCTAAAAAAAGTTTATTGTTGTAACTATCTGTCCTCAAATGTTTAATAGAGTTTGCTTATTAAAAAGAAAAAAGGAAAGAAAGAAAATGTGGTACATATACATCATGGAATATTACATATCCATAAAAAGGAAGAAATCATGTCCTTTGCAACAACATGGACACAGCTGGAAGTCATCATTCTTGGTGAATTACCACAGAAACAAAGAACCGAATACTGCATGCTCTCATTTACAAGTGGGAGCTAAACACTGGGGACACACAAGCATAAAGATGAAAGTGATAGACACTGGGGACTCTTAAAGGGAGTAGGGAGGGTAGGGAGCAAGGGTAAAAACCATCGATTGGGTTCCATGCTCACCATTTGCGTGACCAACTCAATAGAAGCCCAAACCTCACCATCATGCAATAAACCCATGTGACAAACCTGCACGTGTATCCCGTAAATCTAGAATAAAAGTTTAACAAAGGAAAAGAAATAAGAGTCTAGTGTGGAACATATTAACACTGAAATGTCATCAGTCATCCATGTGGAAAGGGCAAGTAGGGCAGCCAACATGAGTCTGGGCTCAAAAGATGATGTCAGGCTAGAGATGAAAACTGTGGAGTCATCAGCATCCAGATGGTATGTAAAGCCATACTATGGGATGAAACTACTGAAGGTTGGGTGTAAATAGAAATGAGAAGAGGTCTTGAGGTTGTGAGGGCAAGATGGATCCAGAAAAGCCTGAAAAGGAGAAGTCAATGAAATAGAAAGAAAAGCAAGGGGATTGATGACCAGAAGCCAAGTGAGGAAAGTGTTTTAAGAAAAGGGGAGTGCTCAGCAGGGGCAGAGGCTTCTGGGAAGTCAAGTGGAATGGCTCCTGAGAACCACCAGTTTCTGAGATTAACCATCGGATGTAACAACACACAGCCCTTCAATTGACAAAGCTGTTTTATTAGAGACTCAAGGACTGGAGTGAGCTAGGAGAGAAAGAGAGGACAGAAAGTATATACAGAGAGAATAGGTGTCTCATGAGGAGTTTTGCTATGAAAAGAAGCAGGAAAATGGGACGGAAAGTAAAGGAAGAAGTGAAGGTCAAGGTTGGTTTCTGGCAACCAAAAAGAAGACTTGAGTATTGGTTGATGTCCAAGGCCAGGCGAAGGCAAGAGGATTGCTTGAGCCCAGCAGTTCAAGACCAGCCTAGGCAATATGGTGAGACTCCATCTCTACAAAAAAATTTTAAAAACTGACCCAGTGTGGTGGTGTTCACCTGAAGTCCCAGCTTCTGGAGAGGCTGAGGCGGAAGGATAACCTGAGCCCAGGAAGTCAGGGCTTCAGTGAGCCATGATCATACCACTGCATTCCAGCCTGGGCAACAGAGTGAAATCTCCTCAGCTCAAAAAAAAAAAGAGTAATTGATGTCCACATCACAGGGCTTTCTGACTTGACACCTGTGCACGACTGCAGAACTCAATAACTTTGTTGCCACCTTTGGGGACAAGGTGGAGTGTAGACGCCAAGGCAACAGGAAGCTCCCTCACTTCCCATCTCTCCATTCCTAGCAGGGCTCTAGGAACTCCCAAGCTGCTGCCGAAGTGACTTGGAAATCCAATTGGAGGAAAGCTCTGCCATTGGAATTATAGCCAGAGCAGGCCTCACCCCTCATTACCCTTTGTGATCAGGGCAGGGAAAACGCTGCTCAAAAGAAGTGTGTAATTGATAAAGTGAAGTAATGTGGGGGGGGGGTTGCCATCTGGGGAGAGGAATAATTTTATTATTTCATAGCTCTTTTGGCAGTCTAGCGTGCAGGCGAGGTGGGGGCATGTAGCAGCAAACACAATCTAATCTACTCCCTCAAGGATTGACAAAGCAAAGGCCTAGCCTTGAAGATTTCCAGTAAATATTTGCAGTAAGGGAAAACATCTGGTGATTTCTCTTACACAGATTCTCTTTTACAGGAAAAGGGAAATGGAGCAGACACAAGGACCGGGCACCCCTTAGGAACTGGGCTGTTGATCATCACTATGCTGAATACTCTATACACGTTTTGTCATTTAATTCCTAGAACCACCACCCACACTCTATGCCAAGGGTTTAATTATCTTCATCTTACAGATGTGGCCCGTAAGTGAAGAGTTGCCAAAACAGGAAACATTTATTGAGAACTGAAGACGTGCAGGCACTGAGTTCATGCATGGGGTTATTTCATCAATCCATACAATGATTCCATCAGGTAAGTACTATTATTATCTCCATTACACAGACAAGCAAATGGAGGAACAAGGAAGCTTGCTCAAGATCACATGAACAGAAAAGCTGCCTCAAAGTGACTTTGTACAAGGCAAAGTTTTCACAGCTTCTAAATGGCAGAGCTTGCATTTAGACCCAGAGAGTCTGGGGTCTCTGATTCCAGAACGTATGGCCTTTCTCTACACTGTGCTACCTCCTGCCATTTATCTGTCTCCCCACAACAGGCTGACCCTGAAAGGTCTAAGGCATGTGACGAGAGCCTGTGAGCCTGTATACATCAGAGCCCTTGACCCCTGCATCCTGCAACCCTGAATTTCCTCTCCGGTGAGCCTGCAGGAGAACGTGGAAGACCGTGCCATCCCCAAGGAGCTGGAGAGTGTGCACCCTCCAAGCCTACCAGTTTAAGGATGCCCTGAGCCTCTGCAGTTGCCCTTGTCTTCTCTCCATCGTGTCTTCCCCAAGCGGCACACAGGACCTGGGATGACTCTGCTAGGTGAGAGAAGATTTTCTGTTAAGTTTTCAGGAAATTACTTGCACAATAAACTTGACTTGCAGTTCAAGACACAGAAAAAAAAATTCCAGTCGCACTATTTACTTGAAGTTTTTGGACAAACTGCTTTCCCTCTGAGGTTCACTTTCTTGCCTAAAAATGAGTCCGGATCTCTTAGATGTTCAGATGGGACGAAGTAAGGCCAGTCCCTAGCTCCATACCTGGAGTATGATGGGACTCCACAATGTCACTGTCCTGCCTCTTCCTCTCCCCATTCCATCTCTAACATGAGACTCATTCTGCATCCTTTGTAAGGCTGTTGTGAGCGTGAAACCATCAAAAGTGAATATACAAAAACGATCGACTCTGTGTTGCCAACATGAAGCCTCAGCCTGTGCATAGTGAACTGGGGTGACTGGAAAGAGACTCCAGCCCATTTGGTATAGTCAGGCCTCACCCAGGCCCGTGATCTTGGGTCCTGGCTGGACTTTGCTGCCTTTTGTCACAAAAGTTCTAAAGGACTCTAAGGGAAGGACTCAGCATGCACAGAGAAGCCAAAGTGATCTTTCTAGAAGGCAAAGCTAAAAACTCTTCAATGGCTCCCTGTGGCCCTGAAGATCAAGTTCAAATCTTTGAACATATTTTACAAACCTTTGTGATCTGGCCTGTGTCCATTTCCAGCCTCCCTCTGTCACACTCTCGCTCCTTGTCTATACTCCAAACACTCCTGAATTTCTTTCAGGCTGAGTTCATCTCTTTATCCTACATGAGGGCAGAAGGGTCAGGTCTGTGCCTTTTTTGCTCATTATTCCATTCTCAAAGCCTAGCACAGCACCTAGCAAATAGTAATATTTGAGCACATTACTTTTATAAGCAGAAAAATACGTTATTCAGGCCACCAAATGCTAGAGAATGACAAATGTCACTTTCTCTAGGAACTGCACCACCCTGCTTAACCTGGTAAGCCAATGCAGGGTTCTGAGCCCCACTACTGCAAACACAGCAGTTCTGACCCCAGCTAGACCTCAAGGCATTGGGGGAGGTGAAGGGAGACGGGGTAATACAGACTAGTATCTATAAGGTTTAGCGTACAGCTGTCTCCAGTGCCAGAGGGAATGTGTGCACATGGGTGTTTCTCTCCTGCTGTCTCTCATAGATTCATCTGCATGCCTCTAGATGGCGCCATGCCTGTAGATGAGGGTGCACAGGTCTCTATGCAACGCTCTGAAACCAGGGGTAATCTCTGTGCTTGTGTATTGATAGGAGTAGGACAGGTGCTTTTTAAAAGTCCTCCCTAAGTGCTTCCATCTCTTCCCCCAAATCTCTTCTCTCTTGTGCCAGCA